CATCATTGCATTTTGGAAAGAAAATGATGCTAACTTTTGCTCGACGTTCCTGGTGTGCAGTAATTATAGGCTGAAGAACCTCAATTAGCTTCTTTTTTATTTCTCCAGTAGGAAGATCCCCATTAGTGTAATTTTGTCCATATAGACGTATTTACGTCATAAAATATTACACTAAAAATTACAACAGTTTGGGGAAATATTCTTTAGTGTGACTTATGCAAACCATCATCCAAGCAGCCAGAGAAGCAGAACCTTGCTTATAGGTGCTACCACTTCAGAAATGGTTTTCTTAACGTACTAAGTAGGCATAACATGATGTGTTCACCACAAACATGGATGACAGGTCATGCAAGCTATTATCATATCTTTTTCAGTAATGAAATTTTAATCCGAAGTGCCCTGAAACATGGTCTGCAAATATTTTTAAAAAATCACAGCTAACAGTCTTCTTACCAATTACAATGTTTAAAGTCACCGAAAGTAAAATTGTTATTTTGATGTAGTTGGTCTGAAATGAATAACAGATTAAAGAAGCGTGTTGGTTAGTTAAGAAGAATCCGTTAGAAAACCAAACACTAACCCCACCCTTATTTTCCTTATGCAAAATAGGGTTGCCAGAACTGCAGTTTAAATTTAATTATGTATTTCTTATTTTCAGTTTCAAACTATTAAACAGATGCTCCAGTTGTTGATAAAACTTAAGTCACACCACGCTGAAAAGCAACACATCACATATAACAAATAGTATAGGAGGGGGGGGGGCAGATTTTATGCAAAAACAAGAAAACAGACGAAGATTTCTGTCTTCTGGGTTGTTGCGCTGTGTAGACTGGTCGATGTTAACCAACGTTTCAGAGGTCATACTGCCTCCGTCATCAGGGCGTTGGTAAACATCGACCAGACTACACAGCGCAACAACCCAGAAGACAGAAATCTTCATACTTACCGCTGTGAAAACCTCAAATCTTACAAGAAAACAGACCTTTTCAATATCTTTTAGTTCTTCATCATCTTCAAGGAAGAATCGTAGGTACTGATACGAAATGTCTACTTCACAATTTCCTCCTTTTTCTCGATGCTCCTCTGCTGTTGCCTGACCTCTAGAGAAAGCATGCTTATTTACCTGTAGACAAAGTCAGTGTACTCTTAGCATACTTTCTTACCTTCATTAAAATTTACCATGTCTATGACAAAAACTTTAGAACTTGGTGGAAAATTTTAATTGCATATTTAGTTGCCAACTTCTCACTACAGTAACCTGGGTTTGTGCCAGGCTGGTCCAGTGGGATCTGTGGCATCGGGACATGACTTTGTCCATGTTTTCAGTTTTTCCCTGTCAATATCATTCCACCACTGCTCCATATTCATTCGTGTACCATCTGGAGGATAAACAATGAACCTGTGAGAGGTTGTAGTATCACTGAGATATCTTATCAAAGCACAAGAACAACAATCATGCTAGGTTCTACCACCATTAGGCAGCATTTAGAAGCACTTTTATGATGGAAAACCCAGTCTGTGTTGGGATGCTTTCAAAAGATCCTAAAAGTTTTATGGAATAATATTATACAGCAAAAATTATATTTTACACGTGCTTCTACCATCAGGCAACTTTTAAAGTCACTTCTAATATAAGTAATGAAAGCATGTAGCATGAGAGTTGTCTAGAAAAAGGGTGTGGGAAAGTAACATGGAAGAAAGGAAAGTAGGTGTGGGTGGGAGGAAGGAACTTAAGGAAAAAGAAACAAAGGGAAAGAAAACAAAGTGCATGAGGGAAGAGGACAAGAAAAAACATTTATTTAACTTCAACATTAGAAATGAAAAATGACAATGCTACTTAATTTTATAAACAAAGAATGGGAAAATTAATTCTTACTGAAAGCAACAGTGATTTGTTTTTCATAATATTGCTATTAGATGGATTTAGAAGGTACATCATTAAGATCAATTTTCATGTCAACAGCCATATTTTAAAATATGACTCATCACAATGAATAAAGAAAAACAATAAACATTTATAACACAAGGGTCAAAATTGTGATTGAAACATTTTCCTAGCTGGTGAATAAAATAAGGACAAAAAAAGGTTTCAGCCTTCAATTAAGTGGCAGTTCTCATTGGCTAGTATTGTCCTCGAACCTCTATGGAAACACCATAACACTGAAGATGTAACTAGAACAAGAACATTTTTTAAGTACAAACTTAAAAGTTTGAGTTGTTCATAACCAGCCATAATGCAACAAAGAACACTTAGTTTATTAAGGGCAGTCAATATTAAATTTCATAACAATTAATTCAACCACAATTTTTTAAACACAGAACTTGCAAAAAACTTAATTCACATTTTGAACTTGTAACTGTTTGCTCCTAACATTTCTAACAATATCTGAGACTCAGAGATTTGGAAATGACCCTTATAAATTATGTAACCCACATTTACACTTACCTGATCTATGGCACAGGGAATGAGACAGGGTAAATTTGCTTTTCCAAAAATGAAGGGAAATGAGCTTGAAAATGAAGGTGCAGCCTGAACTGCTGGAAAGCTAATCTTTCCAATTACATCACTGTCGCCAAACCCAAATTTACCCTACACTTGATTGAAGGTGACACATTTGCCTATTTGAATCATGTTACGGTAAAAGGCGGGACACTGCCTGAAACAAACAGCGGCACATTTCTGGAAAAGAGTTTGAAGACCTACATGTGGTTCAAAACAAAATTATGGATAAAAGTCCTGGACAGTATAAAAAGTGATACATTTTATCACAAAATAAAAATTACATGACACAATAAATACAAATACGGACCTGGATCTGGAACATAATGTATAACTCACTCCTCAACCTGAACTTTTCAGACCACTCTCTGGTCATTGCATTTGCTGATGATTTAATAATTCTATCAAATGGCGGGAGCGATATGGAAGCAGAAAATTATGCCAATGCAGATGTTAGAAGAATAGAAATATGGGCAAAAAATAACAAAGTACAATTTAATGATAGCAAGTCTATGACCATGCTGATTACAAAGAAAAGGAAATATGCAGTTTCAAAGTTACATACAGAACTTAAGAATGCAGCTCATAAAAAATACTGTACAAAAGTAGTACTCAGCTTCAAGCTTGTAAGAGAGAAATGGGTATAAACAAGGTGTTCATAATATGAAATTATACACATATTACCTTCATTGTCAGTGCTTATACTTATTTTGCGTTTACAGTTGACCAGTTTAGTTCAAGGATATAATGCCATTATATCAGAATCAAAATACTGCTTATAAGAATTACTGATATATTGTGTTAATTAATGTATAGTAAAACTGTAAATTATTCTTTGTAATTCATAATGAATTAACTTGTAGGAAAAGAATCACAGTACAAAATATTTAATGAATAATTCTGTTAAATCAGTGGTTCTAGTGTCACTTCTAATTCCTGTGTTGTGTTACATTACTGCCATCAACAATCCGTTTTCGGTATTGCGGAAAGAGCTGAGCTGTGAATCGCTTGTAGAAGAAGTGCATCATAGACTAGATAATTTTGTGCTGGTAAAAACGTTCTAGAATATCACAAGTACTTATCTTATATAAAAATTATTACATTACATTTCATTACAATACAGAGACGTACTTACGTCAGATTCTCCGGAACCGTGGTTCCACTGTCAACTTTTTGTATACCCGTATTCTTATACGGCGAGTATGTGATTGATGTAACAAATTTATGACCATGTATAATTTCACAACCCCTTTTCGGTGAGGCAACATTTTGAGGTGTGCCGTGATGTCTGACAAAGTATGGTGTTCTGCAATGCTCAATACATTGATATTTAATTTCTTTATTTTGCGAATATTTTGGTATTGCCAGCCCTAGACTACAGAAGCTTCCATTCCTCATGAGCTTGAGTTTAAACCAGTCAGAAGAATACAAGGCAACACAGTGGTGAATGTAGGGTGGGCTGACTGCATTCATGTGCTCCTCAGCCAATTTCAGTCAGGTCACATGGTACAGAGCAGAACCACAGGTATTGGCATGTATATCTTATGACCAAGAAAGATGGTTCAGGCCAGACCTACAATGGCTAAATGGTAAAACATGACACTGTAGTATTGATGATACAAACTTCTAGTACTATTGTCAACCAGCAACTGAAGACTGTTCCTACCCTGTTATTTTAATTGGCTGTTGCTTTTCCCAGGATTTGGTCAAATGTTGCAAGAATACAAATGAAATCTAAAAATATTAAAGGTTACCTACTTTCCTCAGCCACAGCTTCTGTCCCATTGGCTAGCAGCCAATTCCACCATCAGCACCATTAAATCTATTTGCCAGTCACTGCTTGCCCTATATAAGACTTCCAGAATTCACCCTAGCACATATTCACCTTGAAAATGGCAACTGTAATGTTTGCCAAAATGTCGGTTAATCTGAAACAACTGATGTGGTTCACACCTGAAAGCTAGTTATGTATTAAAGGTTACAGTTGTTACTTGACAACCCACTTGGATGTTCATATGTACCGGTGATATTGGCTATATCATCACATTATGATTACATCTTCTTGGGTTTTATTTTGCAAACAGCCTTCTTTCTGAATTTTCTTCCACAATGAAATTCTAAAATACTGTACTGTACACTTGATCATTCAGGCTAAGGGACTGAAACACACTTAGGTTTAGTTCTCAACTGTGATCAGAGTGATATAAGCAGTGTTTACATTATGGTTTATAGAGGCTACTCACAGTTCTGTCATCACATACATATTCTAAATTCATCCAACAAGACATGACTGGTATAACTTTGTGTCCCACATAAACTGGCTGAAGATGAACTACTGTTGTGAGAAACTTATTTGGAGACATACAGTTTCAAAATACTTGTATAAATTTTCCAGTGGTTGACCATTAATTATCTACAAAACAAACTGATCCAACAGCTCAGGCACTACTAATGTTTAAGCATTAGTAATCTTCAAAACAAAGTTATCCAACACCTCAGGTACTGCTAAAAGTATATTTACATTTTAACCAATTTTGGATACATCAACTCATGGTTTGACAGCCTATGTACCCAACACTCTGTACAGAGAATGGAATTCGATAAGACCTGAAGATGGGTATTGTCACAATCAGAAAATAGACTGAATAGAAAATTGTGATTATTGGAGAGTTCAGTCCCTCAGACATTCAGTTACATTGCAGTTATATCAATACAAATAGTAGAAAAAAGGGTCGTACATCAGAACTTTGGTTACAGATACCAGGAGAATTTTCACATATTGCACTGATGATGGCCAAAGATGATGTAGCCCCCACACCAACCTAGGAGCTTCCTGACCAAAACATGCATGATGTATAAATATATCTCCACTCCATAAAATCTATTTTCAACTATCAAACCACTTACTCCACTGTACCATCACATAACAAGTCTGGTGAAGAATCACTTTTAGTTCCCTCCACCACTTCTTCCCATGCCACATTTTCAATGATTTGGGAATGTTTCTTTGCATGCTTTAAGATGTCACTTTTTGTAAAAAATTTCTGCATACAAATTTGGCAAGAGAATGGTCTCTCTCCTGTGTGCTTCCTCTGATGCACAATCAAGTCTGAAAGTCTTCTGAACTGGAGGTCACAGTAGTGACACTGAAACGGACGTTCATTTTGATGCGCTGACATATTATGCCACTTGAGTGTGTTCCATGTCTTACATATCTTCCCACAAATTAAACAATTATATGGATGCTGTTCTCTATGCCACATGCTATGATTACGCAAGGAACGTGCGGTACAATATGCCTTGGGACACTGTTCACATGCAAATGGTGTGTAAGTGTAATCCTTGTGATATTCCTTCATGTGCTTCAACATGTTCCCTTTACCACAAATGATCTCAGAACAAACTGGACAGCACTTAAAATACCATTTTCTATGACATTTTGCAGCTACTGCTACCTCTTCTTCTGTGTGCTCTTTTGTGCGATGTTCTTCTAGAGTCTTATCACTGGGTAAAACCTTGTTGCACACAATACAAATAGGCAGTTTACATGTTACCTTACGATGTTTATTCCTGTAATGTAGACTAGCAAATCCTTGTAAACAGACTTGACATTTATAATGTTTCAGCTTAATATGACATTCCTGGTGTCGTATTAATGTGTGCTTGTAATAAAACTGTTTACTACAAGTATCACATCGAAATTTTCTGCCTGTGTGAACAGACCCATGGTTTCTCAGTCTGACAGCAGAAACAAAGCACTTTCCACAGCTGTCACATTGAAAAGGTTTCTCACCAGTATGAATTCGCATGTGAATTCGAAGGCTAAAATGACAAAATAGTATTTTCCCACACAGCTCACATATCAGTTTTCTGTCTGTAGAGTGAACCTTCTTGTGTTGCATTAAATGTAACTTACTACGCCACTTCTTATTGCATAGTTCACAAGTATAACTGGGTGGCTTATGAACATATTCATGGTTCTTCAACCTCGTTATGTTTCGGAAACATTTTCCACAGATTTCACACATATATGGTAATTCCTTGGTGTGAATGCGCCTGTGGTCATCTAACTGGTATGCATATGTGCACTGCTTCATACAATATTCACATTCAAATGCTTTGGCATTGGTATGGTACCTACGTTTATGTGCATTCAGAGCTCCCCTTTTTGTGAACATTTCCTCACACTCACCACATACATATTTAAACTTTTCATTCCTTGTCGTGTGTGGTTCTGGTATCACTACTTCATATGCAGCAGAGGTGTTTTTGACCATATCTGATTTATGTTCTGTCAAATTTCTAGGCACAGTTCCTTCATCTTCAGTATCTGACACGGTAAATTCCTCAGGATTGAAAGACAAATCACCAACAGTATTTACGATCTTTTCTTCTTCAAGTAAGTCATTATGAGAGTTTGGTGTAACAATAGAAAACTCATCAGATGGGATCTCAGACACTATTTGCTCTTCATCCTCTGACACTACTTGTTCATCCCTAACCCCACTAAGAGTCTGATGACCAAGTGCAGCTGTTTCAGGATCTATGAACTGGGTTCCTGATGAATTTGTAAATCCCAATGATGCCTGAAGCTTATCATATGCTTCAATAAAGTCTGCCTTTATCTTGTTGCATGTAAAAAGCTTGTTTGTGCAAGGTCTGCAAATATGCTGGGGAAGTTCATCATTCAGGGCAACCTATAAAGAATTAAAATAAGAATAAAATTAAAATAAATTTTACACGTCATCTGAAAGCTTACACATCTGGTCACTACTATGTCTAAGTAGGTTTTGATGTTTCCACAGCTGCGAGTACAAAGATAGCTGTCTTCTGGGTTACAGTGGTGTGTAGGGTTGTAGAGTCAACCAGTGTTTCAGAGGTCCCTTCAAGGATCTCTGAAACTCATGAGGGACAAACTCAGCTATAAATTACTTTAAGAGTGATTTTTAAGAGATCTGATTCATCCTCTGAGGTGATTTTACTCTTCTGAAGAAGTGACGAATCATTTTATGTTTAGCCACATTCAACTTCTTTACTGAAAAGCCTTCTTTCTATCAATGGTGTGTCCTTGCTCAGTATCTATCATTTCTAACATTCCAAACACTAGCATAAAAAAAATAAGGTAGCAGAGTTAGTATCCCGTCAGCAGACAAGCAGGAAAAATCATATTAGGGTGGTTAATAAATCCTTTGAAAGTGTGACAAAGTTAAATATTTGGGAATAACAATAACAAATCAAAATGATATTCACAAGGAAATTAAAAGGACATTAAATTCTGGAAATGCTTACTACTTCTCAGTTGAAAATATTTTGTCTTCCTGTCTGATTTATAAGAACCTAAACAGTAAAATATACAAAACAATTTTGCCTGTTGTTTTTTATGGGTGCAAAACATGGTCTCTAACTCTCTGAACTCCTCCCCCAATATTGTCAGGGTGTTCAAGTCAAGAAGAATGAGATGGGTGGGTCATGTGGCACACATGGATGGGGCAAGAGGTGTGCACCAGGTATTGGTCTGGAAGCCTGAAGGGAAGTGATCGCTGGGAAGACCTAGAGAAAAGATGGAAGGATAATATCAGGCAGGATCTATGGGAAATAGTATTTGAAGGTAAATGGATTTTTCTGGCCCAGGATAGGGACTGATGGATGGCTTTGATTAATTCAGTGATGAACCTTCAGGTTCCCTAAGCCATCTAGTTAGTTAGCATAAAAACAAATGCTGTGAAAGACAGCTTATGTTCACAGAGATGTCAAAACAGCAGATTTATGATGTTACACTGTGCCACACTTCTGAGACAGAAGTAACACATTGCAGTCAGCTAGATTTTCAATTGTCTGAAGCTAACACACTTCTAAGCATATGTAGCAACTTCTTTGTAATTGTTATAACTCAACTTTGCTGTAATAATTAACCCTTTGGAGCTCAAACTTGTCTCAATAAGATGTATTGAAGCAAGTGAATCATATAGTTACCACAGGCTTTAAAGTTTTTGATATATGCTATCAAATGCTCTACAAAGTTAATGTAAAAGAGAGACATTAAAAGTTTAACACTAAAATTAAAGTACCGGATTTAAAGTTCTAAGATCCACATCTCTCTTGCTCTATTGTACACAGTTATATAATCATACAAAGGAAACAGAGACAGCTAACTCACCAAATCTGGAATTATTTCATTTAACATGCCCAACCAGCCAACAACTGACTGCTTTGGATGTTCATCTTTAGTCGCACAGAGCCGGCACAGCTGATTTGGTAAATATTCCCATGTATTTGTTGCCACTGTACAAGGCTCATTTGAAATTAGTTTTGCATCTTCATATTCACCAGAGTCCCCATGATCAGTCGCTGTGTCCCAAGTTTCAGGAACACCTCTCACGGTCACTGCAGTGTCACCGGTATGTGCCACTGTCTGTCTACAAAAATTGTGAAGGTCAGTTTGCTTTCTATTTGATCTAGGGTGTTGCAACATACTACTGTCTGTGAGTTTCTCTTCTCCTGATTCAATATCCTCATTCACTATCACTTCCACTCTTTCTTCACCATTCTGTGATTGCTGTAAATCTTTCACTTTATTGTAATCGCTGTTATGCATGCCACTGTCTAGACTTGAAAGAAGCCGACTTCCATCCTCTCCACCAGTACCTAAATACAACAAATTATTATAGAACTATCAGTGATAAGATGTTGGATAAATGCAAATTATATTAATTAGAATATCTAAATGGGAGTGATAAAAGGCAATGGAGTAAGGAATACAATTTTGTTTGTTACTGTAATTTAACATTACACACTTCTTTTACACAGCTAATGCTGAGAGAGGATGATAGAAACAGTCATGTTCAAGGACTGAAAGAGGAAGAAAGAAAAGCAACAATCACAATAACTAAACTCAGGTCAGCTGAACTTCAGCATCCTAAATGGGAATCAGACATACATAAAGTGTACATCAATGAATATTCATGCCCAGCTCCTTATTCTGTACAACTTTGTGGCCATTATTAAGATGGTTTTACTGTCCATTTTACTTAGCAAAACATAGTCCTCATGGACTAACTACATGGTAAATAATGTTTCTTGAGAAGTAAAGAGTTACTCAGATGGTGAAGAAATTATCTCCATTTATGGAACCCAGAATGATAATTATCCTGCTCATACTAACATCCCCTCCCTCACTGATACTAAGACAACTGAATCAACTCAATCTCCTAACATATATATAAAATCCTTTTTAACAACTTCTCTATTCTTACCTTAACAAGTAATATCTTTTCTTCAGGTTTCATGATTATGATTTTTAATCCATACCTCATCTTCATGTCATGCTCATCGCATGCTCCTAACAATAATTGGTGAAGAATGCAAAACATAAAGCACATTAATATGTAATTTTATCCACCCTCATCTCCCTTGGGCTCAGCACTTTTAAAACGAGAGATCAAATTTTACACACACATAATACAGCAGGTTTTGTACATTTTCATCTTTGACTTTTTAGATATGCAACAAGAAGATAAAGGATTTTGATCTAAATCATTTTTCAGATTTTATCTCTTAATTTCCTAATGAATATCTTTCTTATTTGCTACAATTAACCCCAAATATTTCACAATGTCATGATTAATTTAGCGATCCTTGTATCACACTTTTGTCTTGAAACTGCTGACAGTTTAATATCATTATTTCAGACCATTCTGAAGGGGGTCACAGCAGGAGTGTTAAATGTCGCGGTCCCGGTCGAACCCATGTACTGATGGGTCGTGAATCCTGCTAACCACCAATGCACACCATGCTGAACGGTGTGTACTGGTTATGGGGGGGG